CTCAACAAATGGTCCTCCCGATCCACCACATCGTTGCGCTTGGATGCAGCCAGCTCCTTCATGGTTTTTATTTATCCTGTTAACAGTAGCAATAAAAGAGCAAACTTCTGCAGTGCAGCAGAAAGGAATGCCGAGCTGTTTCAAATGTAACTACGAATATTTCTTTGTCCGTGTGCCGTGAACACACACACACACACCACCATGTCATTGGACAAACCTCCAGACTAAAAGCAAATTAGTGTATGTGGCTCAAAGCCTAGGACTATGATGAGCTGTGGGGGAGATTTATGATTTACAACCAAACGGCACTCCACCTAATCACTCTGTCTTGGAAGCCCGTTTCATCTTGGCTTTCTGACACCTGTGAACACCTCAGTCTTGGCCTGTCTTGCAGGAACTTCACAGTGAATATGAGAAAATGTGCAGTTGGATATAAGCAGGGAGATTGAGCCTGGGTTCAGCTATGCTTTGTAAACATGTCTACATATTTTCAAGAAAAGGAAATGGGTGAATGAAGTCACAGCATTACAGGGAAATACATCTCATCTGCTAGCAATTAAAAGGACAGCTTACGCACAGGGTTCCTTACAGGACACTCACTCTGGCATCTTTCTTGCATTTTGTTTATTTTTGAGTCACTTTTTCTGCCAAGTCCCGTAAAAATGAATGTTTTAGTACAAGTTTAGTACAAAGTCAGGGTGCCTCTGTAATAAAAGAGGGAGCAAGTCTCATCAAAACCAAACTTAGTGTTCTTCAAAAAGGAGCTACAGGGAACAGTCTTATCAGAGTGTTACCCAAGGTACAGGAATTCTCAGTTAACGAGTGTGAGGAGGGGGGGCTCAAATGAAACGCAATGCAACTTAATGGAGAACTGCTGCTGAAGGACAATTCAGCTTTCAGGAGTGAAGCACGGATCAGTTATATAGCACACTATATCCATACACTGCTTCCAAAAAGGTCTCCAATTTATCTATGTACTGTACAGACAGTACATAAGCAGTTAAGGAAATAATTCCTGTTTTAGTAATGGGTTAAAAATGTGCTACTGTCAGCAGATTTTTTTTTTTTTAAAGGAAAATGATCTAGAACTCTTGACCTAAACATAAAGGGAAGTAGTTCTGCAGAAACTGTATAGAAGGATAACGAGGGCAAGCACTCCTCCCAGACAATAAGCAGGAATTCATGCAGGAACTCGCACATGAGCTACCTTGATAGGTCCTGCTTATTTAACAAGCAAAGACAAAGGAAAAATATTTCCAGTTACACTGCCAGCATAATATCAGTGCGCTCTTCCTGTGTTGCATATGTCACTTATTTTTGGCAGACAAATAAAAGCAAACAGAAACATTAACAAGGAACACCAGGCATAGTGGGCTGAACTCATTTTCACAATTGATTATTCACCCCACCATCACCCACATATCCTCAGTGATGCTTGATTCTCATACTCCAGTTACTATCTCTGCCAGGGTCTGCTGTATAATCACCCGGCCGATGAGTATTTTCTGCAAAATATATATTCGTTTTCGAAAGGCTCTCAGTAGCCGTGTCTCAGTGCAGTGGGAAGGTTTTGGCAAAAGTACTGGAAAGTTGAATCCATGCCTCCTCCAGCCCAGTCTCCAACACGGGCCTTGGATAGCCCCTGTCCAGCAGATTCAGGTACCTCACCGTTAAATCTAAACACCTGGCACAACTTCGGTATGAACAATTAAAGCAGGTGATGAATTAGAGACCATACTGGACCGTACTCCAAGTACTTTTTAAACCTCAAGGACCAGAGCTTTCTTCAGTGAACAGATTACGTTCTTACCAATAACAGATGTTGGAAATCTTTAGAACCAGGCGACCTATAAGACTGAGTTGGGACCCCCTGGGACCAGGGTTGGAGACCCCCCTCTGCTCTAGCCAACAAAGGGTTTCACATTTTTGTGGTTTACTCTGTGCTGGATGCACCTCGTCAGCATCTCATTCCGCTCCTATAAAAAGAGCTCCTGTGGGGCAACGCCGACATTCAAAGCAAGATCCAGGGTTCTCGAAATCTGCGCGCTCAAGGCTTCACCCTCCTTTTTGAAGGGCTTATGATAAAACGCAGGACGTTGGCCTTGGCTGCGAGTGAATGGGACAGTCGGGAACTGCCAGGGCCTCCTATTCGGGACTGGAGACATCCCAGTTGGAACTCCTGGAATAGGCCATTGACTGCTTTGGTCTGTAAACGCTCCTGCACGAAACACACCAGCATTTCGGCTTTCGGGAAAAACAAAACAAAAAAAGGCCTCATCATCTCAGAACAAGTTCCACACTGTGCGGTGCCCCTGTGTCAGCCTTTCTGTGGTGCTTCCATTCAGAGTCCCGAGACACAATGCACACAGAAGTCATTACAGACATTCCAGCCCTTCTGCGTCTGAACACAAGGCTTGGGGGTTAGTGTTTATTGACTCATTTTAAAACAGCAGGGAGCCTTCAGGGGAAGGGATGAAAAAGCCGTATCGGCCAAAAGAAGATTAAAGCACTGAGTGGGGGCAGGGGAACCTAGACAATTAGCCCTGTCTGCAGACTGGGCATGAGGTCTTAAAAGGCAGATTTGCTCTTCCCACCAACTTCCTCAGTTCCACAAAGTCTGGGCTGCAAACTCATCTACTCTTCAGACCCAGATCCAACACGTATCCCACTTCAGTCTTACAGAGGTCACACAGACTGGGCCCAAAGCTTTTCCATCAGGTGTCAGCGCCTCTCGCGCCACATTCTTGTATTGTGCTTTGCTGGGGTGTGTGCTCCATTGCATGTTTTTTTTACAAAAAAACATTTCAAAGGTGGAGCACTCCTTTCAAGTGGAGATTCTGATTGCACTACAGGGGAGCGGAGAGCTGGACCAAAGCGTTTCTTTGTAAACTTGTTGACGCGACTACTTTAGACGATGGCGGCAGCGGCGACGCCCATTTCTGCCTGGCGCGATTTCTTTGGAATCAGATCACGCTATTAAGAGGTCAGCTAACACCTAAAAACAGGTGGAAAGACAAAACACGGCGAAGGACGACAGAGCAGTAACGAGTGACAGTCCTGAGATTCACGGGGGAGCACACTAAGAGCTTAATCCACACGTGGGTGAGCAGTCGAGCCGAACGAAAGACGTTTCATTCGATGGGCGGAAAGCCGAGCTCTTACACGACTGCTGCACCATTCAAAAAAAACAAATCAGAGTAACGGGGTTCATCACTTTCAGGAAGTGTTATTTTTCCCAGAGTTTCACGTCACCTTTCTCAGAGAGGGCACACAGAGGGGACACACAGCTATCAGGCCCCCGCCTCGCACCCTCAGCATTGCGCAGGGTGGTTTTTTTCCACCCTGCTGCTGCTGGAAACATTTCAGAAGCCAGCAAATCTGCTCAGCTTCCTCGGTTTCTCATATTTCGATAAGCCTGACCTTCCTCCCTCCGGTTATCTCCGCTGCGCTGATTAATAGCTGCTGACAACAGGCAGGAGTCTGGAGGAGAGGGTTCAACACCAGCCAGCCCAGAATAAAAACAGGATACAAGAGTGCAAATCCCTTGTCAGACAAGGCTCACCTACACAGGATGGGCGCTCTGGCTTTCCAGTCTCTCTGCCAAGAAATGTAAACCCTTCCACTGGTCGTGCTATCCTGCCACCTTGTGTTGGGAGAGTGACTTGCACTTTTGATGTACACTTCATATATCTGCTTGGCGAGGTACGCTAAAGTCACTCGAACCCACAGCCGGCAGACAAGCGGCTTGGAATCCGAGCTCAAGCCACACAAACTACTGAAGCCTCTGTCCTTGAAGAGCCTGCTTGAAAAAACAAAGCGGAAATGGATCTCATGAGAAATAACCTTGCCTCTAAAATCCCTTAGAAGAAAAAACACCGCTGATCACTCCTTGATGCTGAAGGGACGTTTAGGAAACTAGACTGCTTCTTTCTGCAAAAGCAGCACACTAGTCAAGAACAGCTTGCTTGTCGAATACAAAGATAAAATTCCATCTTAATTCCAATTATCCAGCTGGCCAATTTGGAAAGCAAAACTACACTTCAGGTTCACATCATGCATGGTATAACATACTGGTATTCATTACGCTGTTCTTATTTTTAATTACCTAAAAACTTTACCAAGCAGTCGGGCCCTTCTTCCCTACTGAGATGTACCTTTAATAATAATAATAATAATAATAATATTAATATCAAAGTCTCTTAAACAAAACACACTCTATCCAGACGGTGCCGCCTTTAAAAAAAAAAAGTTTCACAGCTTAAACATTTATATAGATTCCTAGTTTGGCTTCATTCCTTATCACTCGAAACACAAGGAGTGATTTTTTTTCCTTTCCTTTTCCATCTGAGATATACAGATGCTGACAGATTTTTCTTCCCATTTTTCACTCCCTACAAAACCGAATGACTGCTTTCCCGTGGGGGGGGGGAAACATGAAGCTCTCGTCAGCCTCACGAGCAAGACTCGCGTTCTCGTCTCCAGTCTGTTCCCTTGGGCGTCCGGCCGAGACGAGCGCCGAGCTTCGGGGAAACGGGAGTCAAAACAAAAACAGAGACGAGTCCTTCAGATTTTTCACATGCCAAGGATGCCGCGCCAGCCGAAGAGACAGAGCAAAATCTCCCACATAGGAACCCGTCAGCTCGGGCGCACGGGGCCTGTGTGTTCGGCGGGGGGGTGGGGGAACGGGCTGTCGTTCTATAGGCCGTACTTGTTTGTTAAGCTCTCCGCCTTGGTCTCTCTCCCATCGGGGTGAACAGGAACCCACAAATCCCAGCCCTGTCCCCTCTTCCCCCGGCACGCCTTACAGTTTCCGCGCCATCCCTCGCGGCTGAGAGTCCCCCGCGGTCGAAGATCGGAGTCCGGGGTGGTGGTGGCGGTGGCGGTGGGGGGTGGG